GTTGCAGTGCTGAAGGTGGTGTTGGCACTGGTGGCACCTTTCAGTGGGTGCTGGTGCCTTGGTGCACCCTGAGGCTGCAAGGAGCTGCCAGGCTGATGCCCACCAGGACCAGCTGGGAGCCTCCAGGTGTGCCCCTGGCCTCCACCTCAGCTGGGAACAGCATCCTCCAGGATGAGCAGTCCATCAGTGCTACCCTTCAAACATCCCCTCTGCAGGGTGGTGAGGAGGGGAATCATTGCAGATTTAGCACATGGCTTTTAAGGCACAAACATAGCCCAGAATGCTGGCAAATTTTACAATACCAGCAGCTGAAACTTTCACAGGGTGAAGCTGGACTGTGTTTTCCAGGTGGGATGTACTACTGTGCTGCCCAGGGTCAGGGAAAAGATTTCTACCCAGGAAAAATAATGAAAGCTGCCAGCACTGGTTATCCTGTGCCCTGGGAATGAGTGAGCAGAGCCTGAGGAACAAGTGTTGAAGGGAGAAGGGGGATTAAGGGAATGAAGCTGAAAGAAAACCAGCTCGATGCTCTGCAGGAAGGGATTACAGTGCCTGGGGCCATTCAGGTGTGAGGGCTGGAAAGCTGGGAAGAGTGAAAGGGGAGGTAGGAGGGACCTCTCCAGGTGACACTTTATAACTTAGAGGTTTATCAGACACCAGAAGTCTACAAAAAATACAGTATTAGTAATTGTGCTGGGAAGGGACAGGGGGGTGTGCTCTCAGAATGCTGCTGTGCAGTGGCAAGCCCTCTGCCCCAACATATTCCTTCCCATTTGTAGTTTTAGGAAGGTTTACACACTAAAACACCTCACTCAGCGCTGGGGGACTTCACTCCAGGGTTCAGTCCACAGCCCTTGGCTCTCACATGCACTCCCAGGAGACAGGGAAAGTTTGGCCTTGCCTGCACTGAGGAATGAAGGAATAAATAATTAATTCTTCCTGCCCTATGCAATTCACCATTTATAGCAACAAAATCCTGCATTCTGGTTTTCATAGAGCTGGGGACAGGGAGAGGGGGATCCTCTCCATCCCTGTTGTGGGGAGCCTCGTCCCAAACATGGGGCAAAGTCTGATGAGAAAAGATAAAATCGGCCTGTGCTCTACAAGTTGGAAGTTGTCCAACAGCAGCTCCAATTTGACTTATCCTTGTCTAGTTTCTATGTTGTTTCCAGATCCATCCATATATATATTTTTTTTAATATATTTATATTTATATATGTATATATCCTGAGCTTCACAGATTTGGCCACTGCATTTGGGGAAGTCTGGAAAATTCATCTACTTGTTTCAGCGAAGGCAGCACGTTTCCTGGCTGGAATGCTGGGCATTGAGAAGATGCTGCTTTTCAGCCTGATTTGAGCAATCTCCTTTACATTTCAGATTTTTAGGGATTTGTGTGAAGGTTTCCTCTGTAGCTGTGCCAGGGAGGGGCAGGTGGTGACTCAGAGCCAGCTGGTTCGTGATGGGGTGTCGGGAGCACAGGGACATGTGAGGACAGGGCACAGGAGCCCAGGCACAGAGAGGGCCAGAACAACCTGGCAGCAGATGTGGGGGAGCTGGATTGACCCTACAGCTCCACCTCCCCAAAAACAGCACCATGAATGGCCAGGTCTGACCATGCCAGCCTGGCTGGGGCCAGCCCAGCTTGGGGAAGAATGGGGGGCACTGTGGGGTTTGGGGGTTTGGGGCCAGCTGCTGCCTCTGAGCAGCCTTTACAAACTGAGTTTAGCTGGTCATGACACAAAATACAGAGCTTGAGATGATTCATCATCTCCCCCCTCATCACCTGCTGTGAAGGACAGGCACACAGCTAAAAGTTTTCTGTAAATGCTAATTAAAATGGACTTAGCTAATGAGTGATTGGTCTTTTGATTGCATTAATATTCTAAGTGTAATGAACTTAACTGAAGTATAGATTACAATCTTGTTCTAATTAAAACAAAAATGTGTAACACACATTAGCACATATCAGAAGGAGTTTTAATGGCTGTTTGGGATCAAACTGTTGAAAATATTAATGTGTTGTCTAAAGCCTGCAGCACTTAATTAAATTCTTCATCTAAGTGGAATTCAGGTTACTTCAAAGGGTGCATCCATTCACCATTTTCTTCTGCTCTCAGAAACAGAGGGAATATAGACCTGAATTGTTGCTTCCATGCTACCCCTCCAGCTCTGGATCCTGACTTCCTCAGTCCCCTCCAACCCTGTGGCCTGTGGAAGAGAGGGGGAATTTGTAATTCTGAGCCTTTTGCATATCTAATTGCTGAGCAAGAGGCACCATTTTCTGCCTTGCTTTGGGCACACAGAGTAGGGCCAGGAGGTTGTTGTTACCTTGCAGAAGATGGACAGAGATTAAACAACACACTTTGCTGCCAGCAGCCACAGGGAAAAGGTGTTCAGTGTTGGTGCAGCAGCAGTGGCCAGGGAAAGCTGTGATCAGAAGAGTGAAGCAGAGCTCAAGTTGAAATGTCAGAATCCAGGGGGTCAGGAAGGGCTCACGGCTCTTGTCTGGGCTGTGCTACAGCTCTGCCTCTCACCTTTGCAGCTCTAGAGGAACTGACCTACTTTAATCCAACTTTTGAGTGCCAGATGATGGAGGGATGGCAAACAGGGTGTTCTCCCAGGGAAACACTGCATTTTATTTCTTCCACTCTTTTGGCAGCACCTGTTTCTGCACTTCTTTAAAACAAAACACAGCCTTTCCTTTTTCTCTGGATGCTGCCTGGGGCAGGAGAAAGGCATTTGCTGTAGATGGTGCCTCCACCCAGCTCCTACCAGAAGTGACATATTTGCAAAGCCAAAAAGTCACTGCTTCTGAGGCCTCTTCAACCACCAAAAAAAGTATTTTTGAATATCTGTGATCCCTTTTCTCCCAGATGTGACCTTCGGCTGTTTGCAGTACCCTTTCCTGTTTCTAAACCACCTGGAGGTCCTTGGGAGGGCACAGGGGAAATGCAAACTCACCTCTGAAGGGGAGCAGGATCCCAAAACCTCAGGTGAGACATGGGAAGTTAAGGCATTGACAAGCTGGTGCATCATTTCTATGAATTTGGTGTCAGGGCTTGATTTTTGAGGGACAGCCCAGCAGATGCCAATGTTCCAGGTTCCCCCAGTATGGACAGGTCAGAGGCTGGTGGAAGGGATCTGCCCTCTATCCCCAAAAGACAGACAGATCTGTGGGGAGAGCTGGGGATGTGCAGCTGCCTCCTGCTCTCCTGGAGCAGGGAAGAGGCTCTGAAAGAGCAGCCCTTGCTCAAGGGCAGGGCTGGGGAGGAAAATGTGTGAGCTCAGGAAGAGCGTGTGGTTATGAGTCAAGGTGTCACCAAGCAGCTTTGAGGTGACACTCAGACCAGAACCAAAGGCTTCCTGAAGTCAGAACATCTCATCTGGGTCACACTTGAAACAAACCAAGCTCAGCCACACCAGCTCAGGACTGAGGTGTGGCACTTCTTGCAGCAAGTCTGACAGTGCAAACCCTTCTGGTGTGGGTGTCACAGCACCTCCAGTGACACTTCTGTAACTGGGGCCATACAGCTCCCCTCACCCTGTGACACAGCAGCATATCACTCTTTTTATGGCTGCTCTGGTCACGTCTCCCTGCCCAAATCACTGCCTGAATGGTAAGTCTGGGATTGTCCCAAACCCCCCTGACACCACTGCACAGCTGCTGAGCCCTGCCATGGCAGTGGCACAACATCTGTGATTTCTGCAGTTCCAGGATAATCTCATTTAGAGAGCCCTCACTGGCCATGTTAACCCAGTCAGTAGCTGGTGTTTACTCAGTTTATCAAGTCCTTGACTGGGCAGGCCTGGGTGTGCCCTGCATTGATAAAGGGAGGAGATTTTACACTAGAATTTGGAGGTTGATTTAGGAGTCCTGCTTGCCTGATGTCCCAGTCTGTGGTATGAGTTTAGAAGCAAGGCAGAGAGGGTTGGAGCCCAGTGAGGGCTGAATTGCAGCCATCACCTCTGCTGAGAGAAGTACCCAACCCACTGAGCAGAGAGGAGGAGTAGCACTGAGTGACTAAACCTAATTATGTGCCCAAGAGGTTGCCAGGAGCTGGAGGGACAGAAGATGCTGGAAGTGAACTCATGAGCATAAGATAATGTCACTCCTGTGGCAGCACAGAGAGGAGAGAGCCTGCAGCCAGAAGAGGCCATGTCCAAACACCTCAGCACCCTGAAATAAAGTTAAGGAGAAGAATGGGAAGGGCCACCCAGGGCAGTGGTGGGGTCACCATCCCTGGAGGGATGTAAAAGATATTCAGGTGGGGTTTGGCAGTGCTGAGGCTGGACTCTTTGAGGTCTTTTTCAATCTGTGATTCTGTGATTCTAAGGTGATTCAATCTAATTTCAGATAAAGACAGGACTTTGGGATGTTGAGAAGCCCCAGGTGGATGTGAGTCTGTGTCTGTGTGTGTGCAGACATGGCCATATAACCCTGGGGAGAACTGGGGAAGTTAGCAGGCACCTGAAAGCTGCAGCTGAACAGCCTGAATGTGATTTACTGAGAAAAAAACACAGCTCTGTGTTCCTCCAAAAGCCACAGATTTTGCTCCTGAGCTTTCTGTGCCGTTAATCTCATTACATGTTGAGATGAGGAGAGGTAAAGTAGGGTTAAAAAAAAGATACCACAGATGCTACTTCATGAGCCCCAGCTAATTTTCATGCAATTCTGGTTTCAGATAAAGAGCCTTCCCTGGGTTTTTGTAGGAGAACAGCAATGCAGGCTATTCAAAGGGTGATAATACATGGCTCTTGTGGCTAAAGCCTCCTGCTTTCTGAACACACATCCTCAAGGAGCACAGCAGGGAGCAGGGATGTGCCTTCAACCACACTGCTGCCAGACTCAATCTCTTCCAATCTCTTGCTCCGCTCCAGCTTCGGGGCAGACAATGGGAGAAAAATTATTTAGAGTGAAGCCCTTGTTCAGTAATTGCAATTTGTGCTGAGAACCAAGCAGGAGCAGGCAAATTTATTTGGTGTTTTGGCTGTTTCAGGGAGTTGTGGTGAACACTGAACCCTGCACAGATTCAGGAAGAGGCAAGATTAAGGCTTTGTTAAAGCAGGATAAATGCATTAGAGTTCCACTGAAAACAGAGGAGGTGAGTAACATCTTCAAGTGTTTAACAGAACTGCAGCCAGCCACGTATGGCTGTTCTCACAGATCCATAAACTAGATATTATAAAAAAGGAAAAGAAAAACAAAGGAAATCCACTTTAGCTGAGATAAACTGAACCTGGACACGTGCAGACCCAAAAGAGCAAGAGGCATCTCACAAGGCTAAAATGAGCTCCTCGTTCCCAAGAGTGTCAAGTGTGATCATCTGCAAAAAGGAATGCAAGCCAATGTTTCTTTTAGTAAAAGGGTGAAATGAAATGTTAGTTCTGAAAAGTTTACATAAAGTTAAGTGAGCAGGATAATCCAGGCTCTTACAACAAACCTCTCATGCTTGACAATGAGCTCTCACCTCGTGTGTCCTGTATTGTGTCCCTAACTCATGACCAGCTAAACTCCCTCTGTAGAGGGTGGTTAGGAAAGACAGCAGCTGGTCCCAAAACCCCAAACCCATCCTTTCCCCAAACAGCTGGCTCAGTTGGATGGAGCTGTACAGGCATTGTGGTGGGCTGGACCAGCTCAGATCTCACCAGTGGTGCTTTGGTGGAAAGTGGAGCTGTAGAGCCAGTCCAGCTCCCCCACATCTGCTGACAGGTTATTCTGGCCTTCTGCTGTGCCTGGGCTCTTGTGGCATCCTTTGTCCCCATTATGACCATGGTCCAGGTGGGATCTCCCTGCCCTGTGTGCAGCATCCCGGTGGGACAGCCGTGGCGTGGGAGCGTGGGGAAACTGGAGCAGTGAGCCCTGTCCTCCCTCACAGGATGCTTTGGGTTGGAAGGGACCTTAAAGATCATCTAATTCCACACCTTCCATAGCCCAGGCTGTGTCAGGGACACTCACAGGGCTGTTGGGAGGGCAGGTCCAGGAAGGCAGCACTGGCTGCTGGCCGAGCCGTGGCAGCAAGCTGTGCCCTTCTGCACTGGCAGCCCCCAGATCTTCCCCAAAATTGCTTGTCTGCAGATAATGATGAATAGTCCCTTTATGCAGAGTAAGTGAGTAGTGCTGGTGTCGCCTCCCTGAGAAAAATCAGCAACCCTCCTCAAAGGGATGGAATTATTCTCCTTTGGCCATACACAGGCCACATAATTCACTGTAATTTTATTATCTCTGTGCACTCAGAACTACACCACATGGCTCTTCTGTAAGTGGTGAAGGTAAGAGGCTACACCAGCATGAATTTTCTTTAATAAGATTATACCATGATAATAGGCTTTGAGAATAATTCAGCTTCTAATGATTTTGTTTTTCCTTTCTTCCACACGATCAAGGGCAATATGCATTAAAGTTGTGGGGGCTTTCTTAATTATGGAGTAGTAGGTATATATTGTATCTATCAGTTGTAATATTCAAAGGAAATTTTTGGTTTTGTGGGAAAAATTTATTTGGTGTTGCCATTTTCAAGGCTCTCTGTGTAGGCATGTGCAGACCTATGACAAATTTCTGCAATATAGTGGTGGTGTTTTTGTGGGAAAATCCAAGTTAAAACACAATGCAGCCAACCAAGCTGTCTGGAAGGGGATCAACCTTGTAATACTTTAATCTGATTAAAAAAAAAAAAAAAAAAAAAGGAAGTAGTAGTAAAAATTATAAATTATTTCTTCATGCAGATAAGTTGCCTGACATCAGGCATTCAAATTAGGAAATGTTGGCTCGACTCCCCCAGGGCCTCAGTTTCCCTTTCAGTAAAACAAATGAAAGTCATTGGCACTTTCAGACCTGCCTGGCTGGGTTATCCCAGCTGGTTTGTATTGCACTCTGGGAGCACCGAGAGATTTGGTTCCCTGATGTTTGTAAAACTCTCTAAGATCTTTCAAGAAACTCTGCAAAGCCTTATTTTAACATTCCCAGAGGCAGCGCTGGGTAACGGCTGTCACCGGGATTATTCCCAGTCCTTGGAGAGCACAATTATTATCCACGATCCCAAAAGCTTCCAGCCCTCCACGCTGCAGCTGGCTTGACCTTCAGTGCTATCTGAACCTGCTCTGCCATGTGCCAACCTCCCTGCAATCTCTGCTCTTCTGGATGAAATATGGCCCAGCGTGGCCGTTCTGAACAATAGCTCCTCAGTTCAATCCGTATCAGCATCGTTCCTGACACAAGTGAGGAGGGCGGAGGCCCGGAGCCACACATCTATTAATCAGGGCTGGGTGTCACTTTGCAATTCAGAGATGGTTTGTGCGGAAGGAAGCCGAGCTCTGCAATGAAAGAGTTTTGAGGTTTGCTCTGAAAAGGCTTGTCACCACTCGTGACGTGCTTCCCCAGCCCGAGGCTGGGTCTTTGTGGCTTGTGTAGAGTACCAGGAGGGCAGAACTCACACCAGCTGCTGAGTCGTGGTGAAATTTGTCCCTTCTTTAAGGATCTCCCTGCATCCAGCTGGGGAAGGAGGGAGACAGGTGTGCCTCCATCTCACAGAGCTTTGGAGTTCCATAAAGAATGAGGATTTGCAGCTGATGGGGCTTGCTCTGCAGTTGTTTGATCTAAGGCTGCTCACCACTTGGGCATGGCGGTTTTCACTGGGCCTTTGGGGTTTTCACCTGGGAACAGCAGCAGGAAACTGAATCCAGGTGGGATTTCAGGTTCAGGGTTGGAGGGAGAGCACCAGCCTTTCAAGCACTGCCTTGCTCTGCTGGCTGGAAGAAGGGTTGTGCAACCCAGCACTGCAAAAACCATCAGCTCCTGAGCTCTGCCTGCACTGGGTCTCTCCCTCCTTTTCCAGCAGAGGGTAAACAGCAGAATTTTCCCAGTTAGATGAGGCAGTGGAGTTGGAAAATGGGAAAGGATCAGGTGAGTTTTCCTCTGCAGTGGCAAAGGCCTTTCCCCACTGCTGTTTACCAGGAGGATTAAAGAGTGAGTTCTTCAGACACTCCTCAGCTGTCGACCCTGAGCTGAACCCTTGGGTTAGGAGCTGACTTTTCATTTGGGACTGTCAGACTTGAAAGCTAAATCAGAGCCCAGATGGCTTAGAAAAGCCCAGAGAGCTCCAACCTGAGCATGGCTCTTGCCACGCACGTTCACATGTTCTTTCAACAGGCCGGGGCTGCTGTGCCAAGTGTGATTTCAGAGGAAGCTTGGAAAGAAAGTCCAGCCCCGTCTGTCATCCTTTTTTTTTTCAGAGAACTTCTGGTGCCTTTGCCATGTGCAGAATAGCTGAGAGAAAGGAGTTTTACAGAGCTCAGAGCTGGGCTTCTGTGCTTCCCTTCTTCCTAAGATGAGTTCTCTTCCTCCGTGAGTCACCCCATGGATGAGAACAAGAGGTTTTTTTAGGGAAAAGGAGACAAAATAGAAGCTGGCTCTTCAGAGCTGCTGTGCCATGGCCATTTGCTGGTGGATCTGGAAGCTTCTGTCATCTTTAGCCCGGGGAGTTCAATGCCAGGGCTGAATTGCTGCGGCGTGTTTGTGTTGGGCAGTGGCTGCCTGCCACCCCTGGCCCAAGGTGGGTGTGTGTCCCAGGAGAAGCAGTTTGCACATTACACAAATACTCAGTGCCTGTGGGTGAGCTGCAGCCTGTGCCAGTCAGGCTGTTAAAGTATTTCCTGGGGTTTGCTGCCAGGGCTGAGGAATTTGCTTTGTTAACACCTGAGGAGTCCAAATCTGTCCTGCTGTGGGGGCACCTGTGTCTGGCCACATCCCAGGGAGGTGTCTCTGCTCTGACATTGGTCTGGAAGGGGTTTTGGGGGCCTGGTGGATGCTCCCTGCTCCTGCATGATGTTTTAGGACTCTAAACGCTTCAAAAGTGGCTTTGCAGGTGTCCATCCAGCCTTGTCTCAGCACCCAGTGTGGTATGCCAGGTAAGCACACCTTGGCTTTGAGCAAGCACCCCCCGCCGCTGCTTCATGGAGCTGGAAAACTTCTAATTAAAGCCAGATTATTGGTCTTTGCCCTTCCTGTTAGTGTTTTGATTTGGGGTTTTCTAAGTCCCTTTAAGATGTCTGGATAGATGATATCAAGGTTAATTTGTTTGTGATGGAAGAAATGTTTTCACATGGTGGCTAAATGTTGCTGGAAAATAGCAGAATTAATAGCTGCTCACTTAATCCTGATTAAACTGGCAGCTGGGAGATATTGATCACTGTGTTCACAGCAAACTATCCCTCTCTAATGCTTGGGGTAAACAAGCCTGGGACTGTGGTTACCTTAACCCTTCCCACATTGGCAGCCTCCTGCACTGGGCAGGACCTGAACCTGTGCATCCTCCTGCTCCCCAGCAGAAGGGCTTTTTCTGGGGTTAGCTCCCTGGGTATAGCCAGGCTGGCTTTGCCCCAAAATCTCCTGGGCTTGCAGAGTCACCCAGGTCTGGCTGTTCCTGGGGAGCCCTCTCTGCCAGGGACCCTCAGTGGCCCCCACGCCCAGCCACTGCCATCACAGGGGGTGCTTGGATCAGTGATTCACAGAACCCAAAAAAGCTGCTCAGGAGGTTAGCAGCAACTGATTTTAGGAGGTCAAATACAAAACAGGGCTTGGCCAGAACAGGCACCAGCTTGGACCTGACCCCAGCTTTGCCGAATCCCACCTCTCCCATCGCTGTGGGTCATTCCTGACCCACGATTTCTGGGGACAGATGGCAGCATAAACCCTTGCTCACCTCTCAGCCCACCTGTTTGATCGTACTCTCACCCCCAAAGTCATAAACCAGAAGCAACTTTGAGGCTGCCAAGAGTGGGAAGGAGGCTCAGCAGCCCCAGCTTTCCTGCTCAGGCTTTATTACTCTCAGAAAAAACGTGTTCCACATTCGAGTCTGTGCATTCTTAATGCAGCCACTGCCAGGCTGGCTCCAAACAGCACCAATTGCTCTGGCTTGGGTCTGTCTTTGCAATTCACTGTATTTTTGCACCTCTGGCTGCTGCACTGTGGTTGACTTCTTGTTAACACAGACCAGGTCTGGAAATACCTAGAACTGTCTTCAGCCTCCCAGGGAATGAGGGGGATTCCTGGAGTGGATGGGGAGTAACCATGACAAGGAACAGCTTTCCAGAGGCCACTCAGAAA